CGCCGAAGGCCACCGAGGGACGGCCTTATCCTCCAAGTACACGAAGCTGGCTGTACTTCCAGGAGCGGTGTGTGGCGTGTGTCCACGCAAGTGGGAGAACCGTTGCAAATTGGGCGGGGTGACCTGGGGGAGGCTGCGCTGTGGCAGCCGCGTGGGGCCGACAGCCACCGTGGGCCGACCTTGCCCGCCGCTTCCGCCCTTCCCCGCGAGAATTCAGGGTCGCCGTCGACCGCGCGCCACGTGGGCCTCCAGGGTCGCAGCTAACCGCCGCTGAAGGTGAGGAAACTTACCACGGACAGCGGGGTCCAGGGCGGCCCTGGGGAGGGGGGGCGAAGCCGACGGTGTCAGTCGGCACGCCTGGCGAAGCCCCGCCAGTAGAAGGCCCGGTGGGAAGGGGGGGATAGACGCGACCGACCGCCCCCACAGGGGGCCACCAAGGGGGGCGCCCGGTGAGGGAAGCGCAAGGAAGCGAGCCCCGAGGGCCAAGGGCGGGGGGCACCCGCCCGGCCCGAGAGCGGCCCAGGGGGAGAGGCGAGGAGGAAGCACCTCAACGCCCCTCGAACGGGCCCCAGATCAGTCTGTCAAGAGACACGGTCGCCATTATCGGGAGTCCTCCAGGGTCGCAGCTAACCGCCGCTGAGGTGCAAATAGTAACGAGTGGCAGGTCCTTCGCCCGGTGTTGGTGCAGTTCGATGGCGTGGTCCAGAGTGGACATCCTGCCGCGCTGAATGCTGGTCTGCCAACGCGGAGACTGGTACCTCTGTGGGGGCGGTGGGCGTTGGTCCCCCCAGGGTCGCAGCTAACCGCCGCTGATGTTCGCGAGCCTGCGGCGTGACAAAAGTGCGACCTAGCTAGGTCGAGCTCGCCGCCAGGCAGGTGGGGGGGCGCCGCGGCCCACCTCCTGCCCATGGCCCGCGAGCCGGCTGTCGTCATCGGACAGCGAAGTCTGGGAGCCAAGGGGGCCTGCTTGCGCAAGCCAGGCGGGCCCCGCCGTGCCAGTGAGGGTGAAATGTCGGGCGCAGGTGGGGGGGTCCCCCAGTGTCAGGCCCGAAAACGTGGATGGTGGTCCACTTATCCAGCGTGGGCTGTCTAGCTAAGCTGCGCCGTGGGTGAGATGCGGGGGTGGGCCTTCGCCCCAGCGGAGGCTGGCCCCGGGCATTGCGGCCTGAGCCGGGCACAGCGGGGTGAAACAAGCCCCTTCGGGGCAACGGGTGGCTGGAGGTGGGGGGAACAGGTGTCCATGGGCAGGTCCCTGCTATGGACGTTGAGGTCGGCCGTGTCGGGGGCACGTCAGCCTTGGGTGTCGGTGTCGCTCTTAGCCCACCAGCGGGCCCGCTTGTCCCAGTCGCGATCGCCCCCTCTTGGGGAGTATCGTTCGCCCCTGCCTTTCCAATCGGGGCCCGTCCATGGGGCATCTCGCCGCTCCCACGAGGTCCACTCTTGCCAGCCCCGCCACTGGCTGGGGGTGGCAGTTCCAATGGCTCCAGCCCAGGGGTCCTGCGCAGCTGCATGCGCGAATGCTCGGCTCTCGGCAGTCGAGGGGGCCGGCTCGTCGCGGCTGCCGTGCTCGCGTGGGGCGTGCGCGTGAGCGTCGTGCCTCACGGAGCTCATGTGCTTGTCCCTAACTGCGGCCCAATCTACGCCGAGCCTGAGTTCTCGGTCCATCCGATATGCATCATGGCCGGCGTTGGCCCATGCTTCCAGGAACTCCGCGCACGTTTTGGGCGCGTTGAGTTCGGGATTGCTCTTGTAGCGCCCCTTGGGGTCCTGACTCAGGGCAGCCCGCTTAACCCACGCATGCCAGATGCCGTTGAAGGAGCCTCCAAAAGTCTTTTGCAGGCGTGTAATATTGTCCTGGATGGGTTCGTTCCTTTCCACGTCTGCAGCTGCAATAGTGCATATGTACATGCGGCCGCCACCCATGGGGTCGTTCAGGTTATCGTAGTATGGCTGGGCTCCTTCCAGGGTGCCCAGCGGGCCTCTGCGCGCGTGAGATTACCCGTTGGTGGCTTGGCGGCGCGCCCTCTCCCGTCTTCAGAACCTTCCGAGGCGGGGCGGTCGCGTCCTCGGCCCCACGAAGTGCGGTTGGTCGCGCGGTCGATCCTGGCTCCCGCGCGATCCCAGGATGATGCGCTTCCCCTTTTTTCCGGAGCTGTCCTTGGCCCTCCGGAGTTCCAGGGCAGCGACTTGGTCAACGGTCTGCGAATAGGGGGTCCAGGCCTTGCCGCTCGGGGGCGCATCCGTGAATGCACCTAGGGGGTCGAAGAGGTCTGCTCCTTCGTCCTCGTCGGCGGCCCGTTCTGGGCTCGCGATCGGGCTCGTTTCCTTGATTGTGGCACATGCGTTTCCTGGGTCGTCCCCCCAGTCGGGCGCATCGTGTTCGCCCTCGGTCTTGCATGCCTGCTCGCGCGAGCCCTGCAAGTCCGAGGGCGGGTCGTTGGCCCCTTCGTTGCCGGGGGCCTCATCATCCGCCCTGGGGCAGTGACCTGGAGGTGCCTTTGCTCCCGAGCCTGGCTGTCTGATGGGGGGGGGCGTTTGCTACATCGCCGGGTCTGTTCAGCCAGTATGCCGCTGGGGAGTTTGCCGTGGTTGCGGACTCCATGGCGGTCTGAACTGGGCCCAGCTTCGCCGGTGATTTGATGGTGCCGTCGGCGAGGGTCGCGGGGTCCATGTTCACGAGGTATTGCAGTAGGGTGCTGAGCCTGTGGCGAACGAGGGGAAGCGCCTCGCTGCTCGTCAAGGTTGGCTGCGTATGCCTGCCATTTGCTCGCATGCATCACGTTGGCCCGCGTCAGGTGGGACACCACCCGTGCCGCTGCCGCTGGATGGCTGTCCCATGGGATACGTGGGGGATGGCAACTGTCTGGGGTCGTCTCTCCGTAGATGCTGGCCAGGAAAAGGCGCAGACATTGGGGGGGGGGGGGGGCAAAACTCCTCGTTGGTCTTCACTCCCGTGATCCCGACGCCGTATTCCGCCACGTAGTCCACCCATTTGTTGTAAATGGTGGGGTTCCACTCTAGCAGGAACTTGAGCAACGAGCGCAGGGCGCTATGAGACTCCTGTCCTGCGAGCCCTGAGGTGGAGTGGGTTGGTAGGGCGGGCCACGAGGGCGGGGGTATATAGGGGAACAAAGACTTGATGTCCCGAGCCTCGGCGTCTGGCCCGCTCCCCTCACCGTCGGGGTGGGGCTGGCTGGTGCTGGTGGGGAGGGTCAACCCTCCGGCTGGGGTAGCTGGTTTTGTGTAGGCGTCTGGAGCTGTGGCGTTGGCGCAATCTGGGGTGAGGTAGACGGCGATGTCGTGGCGCTCAACTGCCACTTCCGTGGTCGCTTCCCGCTTGGCTGGTGCCGTGGGGTAGATGCGCGAGGACTATTGGTCGAGGATGTAGTCGAGCGTACCTGGGGCCACGTTCCAGATGTGCGTGAGGCACCGCCCAAAGGCCCAGCCGGCGTTCCACCTCCGTTGGGCCCACAGGGCGGGCATGAGATCCCATGGCGGTAGACCAGTACTGTCGTCGACGGGTGCTTCAGGCTCTGGGTTCCACAGGAAGCAGCCTAGCGTTGGGCGGGTCGCTGCCCACTCCAACAAGGGTGATCCCGCTGGGCAGGTGTCGCACCGGGCAGAGTAGGTGCCGGCGGAGTGCGACTCGACACCGAACCTCCCGTCTGTCAGTTTGTGAGCAGGGAGGGTCGTGCCGGCTGCGCGGGGGCTTTAGGCAGGAGGGGTTTTCATAACGAGGTCGCGCAAGGTCGTAGGGGTCGGGGCCATATCTGGTCGCCCATATCCGATCGGGAGCCGAGCCAAGGAAGGGAGTGTACTGGACTTCCTGTCGTGGCGCGACTCTTCCATGATGCCCCTGTAGTACTGCAGTCGCATCGCTAGCGACCTCTTGTGGCCGCGGTCGTACGAGGCGAGGGGTGTCTCGATGCCCCTCCCTTCCACGGATTTGATCCAGCATCGCTCGCAGAGCCACTTGCAGTTATTGCCTCGCATGTGCGCCTGAGAGCGGTTCTGTGCTAGGAGGTCCCTTGTGTCATCGTCTTCCCAGGTGCCGGCCGTGGACTTGAGTCCTCTTCTGGCTGGTGAGGACACGCGACACTGGAAGAATTGCAACCAGTGTGCCACTGTGGCGCGGCGGGCGCTACACATGGAACTCAGAAATCGCCATATAAACCAAGGCAGGAACTTGGGCTGCAGACTCAGCCCAAGCCTGGGGTAGGATGAGGAGGAGGATGTGGATGATGGAGGCGCGTGGGGCCATGAATACCGTCCTGCCCACTGAGGCTGGAAAGTCCTGGTGCGCATGCATCAAAACTGGTGGGCATGGACAACCTCGCTCTCTCTCGGTGCCATCGTCATCGCGGTTTCTCACCGTGAGATGGCGGCGGAACTCTGGTCGCAACCGTGCGCGGCGATCTCTGAGCACCCTCCCAGCCTCCTACGTGTCAATGGCACAGAATATGTTCCAATGTAGTAGCTAAGCATGCTGTAATGATTGCTAGCATGCATGTGTGCGTGTTGCTTGCTTGCTTGCGGTGCATACTTGTGTGTAGGTGCGTGCGCGCCCGCTGCCTATTTTGACTCAAACTGATTCGTAGGGGCCCCTGAGCTGATATAAACTACGAGCGGATCTTATCGATCATAATCTATTCAATTTCATATTTTGTTTGGAACTTCGTGTGTTCCAACTTCGGTGGTTCTGTTGAGTGCTACCGACATTGGTAGCGGAACCAACGGCTCCAGGTCCACGGCCAGACCGATAAAGTCCGCTCTTGATTCTCATCCAACAGAGTCGAGAGATGCGGCCCAACGGTCAACCAGGACCGGGACGCGGACAAGGCGAAGGGCGTGGCGGTGACGACGCTGGACGTGGACGCGGTGCTGGACGCGGACGCGGCCAGCAGGAGGAACGTCGTGGAGCCGAGGAGCAGGAAGTACCAGACGACGACAGCGAGCTCCTCGGAGGAGGTGGTCGAGGCGGACGTGATCGGCCACCACAGATGGACGCGGGCTTGGCGAAGTGTTGCCCGGACGCGACGGACCTCAGCCACGCGACGTACAGGAACTTTCGACGGAGAGCGACGGTGTTCCAGAGATTGTGTGCGCGCCGAGGCGCGTCAGTGGTGAGTGAGGGCGCCTACTTGCTCCTGCAGAGCCTGCAGGGCGACGCGTGGGACGCCTGCGACGAGATAAGTTTCGAGAGGATGGGCACCGCCGAGGCATTCGAGGAGATATTCGAGAAGTTGGACGTGCTGTACAGGTACACTCAGGAGGTTGAGTTGCCAGGAAGGTGCGACGGATTCTTCAGGGAGTTCGCGCGGCAGCCGAAGGAGACGCTCAACGCGTACGTACTTAGGCACGGCAAGGGGCTGACGAAGCTGCGCGAAGCTGGACTCGAGCTACCAGACCTACTGGCAGGATGGCATATGATGACGCGGGCGGCGATTCCCCAGTGGCAAGTAGGCAACCACAAGGCGCTGTGCAACAACAGGTTGACGGTGCAGGTGGTAACGGAGAGTCTGAAGACGATGTTCGGAGGCGATAGCGTGGCGCACAAGAAGGACATCGACCGCGTGAGGAGCACTTATCACGGACGAGGCAGTCGAGAGGAAGGCTACTGGATGGAAGACTACGATGAAGAAGATGATGATGTCTACTATGAGGACGAGTACGACCCGCACGAAGACTACCAAGAAGATGACGAGTGGTACGAGGAAGACGAAGAAGTGCCAGAGGATCTCGAGAACGCCTACGAGGCTACCGAGGAGGCCTACGCAGCGTATGCGGAGGCGCGAGCTAAGATGAACGAGTTGGCGAAGTCCCGAGGGTTCTACCCCGCGGTGGCGCTGATCGACGAGAAGCGTGGACTACCCCCTCCAAGAGTTGGAAATGCCAGGCCGCCAAAAGGAAGAGGACGCAGCAGCAGTGGCAAAGCGAGAGGCGTGCAGAAGGGCAAGCAGAAAGGACGATACGGTGGACGAGTACCCTTCGGCGGTGGCAAGGGCGGCAAGCACTTCGACGGCAGCCCGAAGACGACGCATGCGGGATCTACGCAGCAACGCGGACCAAGGTTCAAGCGGCGACGAGATGGAGCACCCACCAAAGGCGACGAGGACGCGAAGATGCTGCACGAGATCGGCACGGACAATAAGTTCACGGAGATCGCTCCAAGCATGGAGACGGCGCACGGATTACCACTCGAAGAAGTGAATTTGGCTACGGGCAAAGGAGTTGGCGACAGTGGAGCTACGAAGCCAGTCATGGGACTCGACGAATGGCCGAAGTGGCGCAAGAAGCTGACGGACATGGGCATGGCCGACCAGATCACGACGGAGCGGTGCCAGAAGACATTCCGGTTCGGCAACGACGTTACGGCGACGGCAAAGCAGATGGTTACGTTCCCAGTCTGGGTTCGCAAGACGAAGCGCGAGATCACGGTGCACCTGGTGCCGGGAAAAATTTCTCTTTTGGTGGCTCGGCCGTGTCTCGAAGAATGAGGCATCGTGGTGGACTACCGCAACAAGAAGGCGATGTACCTGGACGAAGTACCTCAGACGTGGAGCGACATCGAGACAAACGAGAAAGGCCACATGATCCTGGACCTTTTGAGTTCCCCGGAGGACGCGCTGGAGATCAAAGAGGAGTCTAGCTCGACGGACGCCGACACGGACGGAGATCACGAGGTCAAGAGCGAAGAGGAGATAGACTTCTACGTGACCAGCACTCATGGCGAGGAGCAGGAGGACGCTGAGACGACGAACTTCGACGCCGAGCAGCTGAAGGACTGGTTTACGAAGGTTAACAGGACGCTCGACGAGAAACCTAAAGTTAAACGCAAGTTTTGGGATATTTTCGTCAATGAGGGACGCATTTCACAGCATGTCGAGCAGCATGGCGACTTCAAAACGGACAAGTATACGTTGGACACTGGCTGGGATTGTACGAGGACGTCACATCGCGAAGCGTTCTTTGAAAAACTGCGACGTGAGAGGCCAGAAGAAGTTTGGATTTCACCGCCATGTACGCTGTGGTCTTCGATCAACCCGCTGAACGACGCGAGTAAGGACAACAGATATCGGCAGCAGCGCAGACGAGAGCGAGAGAAGCAGAAGAAAGAGTTTCTGAAGTTCAGCCGGGACATCTACAACGAGCAGCAGAAGAACGAGAGGAACGCGCATTTGGAGCATCCCAGGTACGCGACGTCGTGGAGCGAGGACGTCTGGCAGGACATGGAAGGATACGACACGTTCGTGGACCAGTGCGCGTACGGGCTGAAGGCGCTGGACCGCGACGGGCGCAGGATCGGTCCGATCAAGAAGCCCACGAACGCGCGGACGACCAAGTACAAGATGCACGAGGGACTCTGGAGGCGTTGCAGCTGTAATGAGAAACACGTTATGCTGGAAGGAGCTCACAACATGCGCGGAGTGGAGAACTACCCGAGGAGCATGGCGTTTCAGGCGGCAATCTGCATCGTGGACGACCCGCAGAACGAGTCAAGCTATGCCGTAGAGGAGATGACGCAAGAGGAGTTTGACAAGATCGAGTATAAAGAAGTTTGTAAGAATTTACTTGAGAAGTTCACGCTCGACGGGGTCAAGTGGGTTGAGAAGGTGCATGTGCAGATGGGTCACCCATCGAGCGAAGCGTTGGCAGCAACACTCAAGGAGATGAACGCGGACGATCGTTTGGTAAGCTGCGCGCGGGTTGATGTGTGAGATAGGCTTGAAACGACAGAGGCCTAAACCAGTTCGGATCGCTAGGATTACAAAAGATAGAGGTATCAACGGCGCGATCGACATAGACACTTTTCACGTTAATCACGTTAAGTGGAACGAGAAGCACAAGCTGATTTTAACGATTATGGACGAGAGCTCGCGATACGAGGTCGACACGGTAGTGCCAGACGAAAAAGCGAAGACCGAGATAAAGGTGATCGAGAAAAACTGGATCAATTGGGCTGGTGTGTGCCAGTGCGTATTCGTGCTGATCAAAGTGGTGCGCATGTGAGTGAGGAGTTTTCGGAGCGGCGCGACACGCGGCAGATTAAATTGCAGCTCATACCGAGAGACGCGCATCATCGACTCGGGATCCTTGAAAGGAATCACCAAGTACGACGAGAGCAGATCGCGAAGTATCACGAGGACCGACCAGACGACAGCCTGAAAATTACGGTGCGAGTGACGTGCGACATGAGGAATCGGCTACGCAACGTTCGAGGGTTTACTCCAGCGCAGCGCGCGCTCGGACGGCAGCCCAGAGATCTGGGCAACATGGCAGACGAGCCGACGACGACGGGCGATCTTGGAGAGCACGACGAGGGATTCTACCAGAATCTGGGTCGCAGGCGAGACGCGGCCAAGGCGTACTTCGCGGCGAATATGTCGAGGGCAGTGCGAGAGGCCTTAGCGGCTCGCAACAGACCCTTAGCGAAGGAGTTCCAGATCGGCGAGTACGTCTACTTCTGGAGGTGCGACAAGGGCGAGAACGACTTTATCAAGAGTTATTGGATGAGTCCGGCGATGGTGACGCAGGTCGAGTGCACGGACGACCCCGATAAGCTGAGGCAGTCAGTTATCTGGTGCGTGCATAACAACACGCTGCTCAGGACGACGCACGAGTTGCTGAGGCCAGAGCTACCAGAGGAGCGACGACAACGCGAGGAGGCAGGTGATGATTTCGGTCTACCCTTGTCAACGGCGGAGAGGTTGCTCAAGAGGTTGAATAACACGACCGGCTCCATCAAGTACAAGGATTGCGTTGGCGACGCGCTCGGGGGCCCAGAGGGCCACGTAGACGACGGACAGCCCGAGGGCATGGGCGTGGACGCTACAGGCGTGGACACTGACGGTAAGGTGGAGGAGCCAGTCGAGGAGCAGGCTCATCGTGACGAAAGGACGAGGAGCAGCGAAGAAGCCGAGCCAGCCGAGTGCGAGGTGAAGGAGGAGCAGCCGCAGTCAGCGGCGGCCGAGTCTCGACCCGAAGCCGATCTACCGGAAGCCGATGGCGGGCGAGAATCTCATATCGAGGCTCCAAGCCAGGAGAAAGAAGAGGACGCTAAACCGGAGGCCATAGTGGAAAAGCGGAAGGTGGACGACAGGGACGAGTTACTGGAGAGCATGAACGCGGCGAGACGGCTCGACGGGCTCAAACCGTTGGCTAAGAGACCAAGGATAACACCGATGGAGACGGAGGCCACCAAGACGGACACCGGCGACGACGAGCTGCTACTGCTGCACGAGGACGAGGAGATGATCTACCTCACGAACGCGGCGAAGCGCGACGCGGTGGCGGAGGCCAGGCTCACGCCGGACGAAAAGGTGCAGTTCGACTAGGCCAAGACCAAGGCATTGCCACCCTGGATCGAGAACCAGGCGTGGCAGGCGGTGAACGAGGCGACGGCGGGAGCTGGCGAAGTGTGTCCGATGAGGTTTCTGCTGAAGTGGAATGAAGGACGGAGTTCGAGAGGCAAATGCGCGAGTGATTCTTCAAGGATTTCACTTGGAGGAGGTGACGAGCACCAACGTGGAGAAGGCAAGCCCTACTCTGACGAGGCTCGCGAGGTACCTCATCCTGCTCATCTTGTGCCAGCAGTCGTGGAAGATGGTGGCAGCTGACGTGAAGAGCGCATTCCTGCAGGCCAAAGACATTCGCGAGCAGGGTGTGCGCATTTTCAGCAGACCGACGAGGGACATCCGAAGGAGGTTGGCGAAGATGATGGGCCTAAATGACGACGAGATATTGCAGATGCTTAAGCCAGCTTTCGGAGATGTTCGCGCTCCAAGGCAGTGGAATCAGACGGTCACGGAGGCCATGATCGACATCGGATTTCTTCAACACCAGCTAGATCGGTGCTGTTTTCTGTCGTGCCGCATCGCGGCCGACGGCGACGACCCCTTTCTGGTGTGGAGCGCAGACGACGGCCAGAACGTCCTGGACGGCATTCTGGGTTTACGCGTGGACGACTTCATCGGTGGCGGCGAGAACTTGGAGTGCGAGGCCGACCTGACCGACAAGCAGGCCTACGAGGGCACGTTCCTGGACAGGGTGCAGACTCTCAGCAGGCGCTTTAAGTTCGGCAAGTGAGAGCTTCAGAACGGTATCGTTTTCTGTGGTATGGAGACCACGCAGTCGCAGTCAAGGAACGAGATCGAGGTCAAGGCCGAGCAGTACACCCACAAGGTGAAGCCGATTGGCATCGAGAAGGTACGCCGCCAGTACCCAGACGATTTGTGCACGCCGAAGGAGATCAGCCAGCTACGAGGACTTAATGGAGCTATGCAGTGGCCGGCATCCCAGTGCATGGTGCAGGCGGCGGCGACAGTTTCTTTTGCCCAAGGTGACGTGAGCGAAGCCACGGTTGGAAGTTTGCTGGAGGCCAACAAATCATTGCGGTTCCTGAAGGCGGGTGGCGACGTGGGCATCCGTATTCGTTACGTGTCCAAGTGGGAGGAGCTACGACTTGGAGTGTACTGGGACGCTTCATGGGCAACAAGACTTAACGGCGAGTCGCAAGGAGGCTACATGATCTTCGCGATCGAGGACGACAGGATCGACGACGGCCAGGCCACGTTTTTGGTTATCATCAATTGGACGAGCAAGAAGTTGGTTCGCATTTGCAGGAGTTCTCTGGCCGGGGAGGCTCAGGCGGCGGCCAACGCGGTGGGCGCTCTGGAGTTTGCGAAGACGATGCTGACCACGATGCTCTACCCCAACATGCAGCTGACGGGGCCGGACATGCTGCAGGTGCTCGGGCGAAGCCCGTGTATCACATACTGCAAGGCGCTCTACGACGCAGCCAATTCTCAGGCGCCAGCCGGTGGCCTGACGGAGCGCAGGACGGGCGTCGAGATCATGCGAGTGAACGAGAAGATGAAGGAGTTCGGCGGAGTGTGGAGATGGACGAATACACATCAGCAGATGGCGGACGGGCTGACTAAGTTGCAGGTGCGACAGCAGTTCGTGGAGAAGCTGAGGAGGATGACACACGCGCTGAAGTACGACGCGAGGTTCACGGCAGGCAAGAAGGTCAGCCAGCAAGAGCGTGACAAGAACGAGCAGGGGCTAAACGACGCGGCGGCCGACTTCGACGAGGCGAATGCGGTGGACCAGACACCAGATGAAGTGCCGGCGCGAGAGATGGTCAGAGCGACGAGGGCAGGGGCCAGGACAGCACAGAGACTGGCGGCGCTTGTGGCGACAACGGCGGCTACGACGACAAAAGCGGAGGAGACCTGCCCAAGCCTGGACATCAACGAGACGCAGTGGATCTACGTGACCGTGCTCACGATGTCGCTGGTTGTGATGGTGCTGGTTTGCGCCAGTTGTTTGTGTGTGACGTGCAATTTCAAACGGGCGAATGAGCGATTCTGGAAAACAAGAACGAGGAGATGAAACGCTGTGTGAGAGACACGCCAGCCTCACGCAGAGACGACAACGCCGAGTATATGCGGTTGAAGACGAAGATGAGTAAGCAAGCCGATGAGAGCGAGCGCTTGAAAGAGAAGAACGAAGGGCAACGGAGTAGGATCGAAACGCACTTCCCTTCCTGCAACCCCACCCTGCCACCCTTGAGGAGATAGGCGGGCACTTTTATTGTACATCAGTGCGCCACGTCCTGCGTGCTCGGCAAGTCCGTTGTGCCTGAGTGAAACGACTGCACCGCGCAGGACGACGAGGGCCCGCGGGGCCCAACCGCCGGCCTCGTGGAGGCGAAGGGGGAAGCCCCGCAGATGAATCCAGCCCGTGGGGCGCGACCATCAGCCTCGTGGAGGCGCGAAGGGGGAGCCCGGGAGGCGGGCCCAGCCCGTGGGGCGTGGACCGCCAGCCTCGTGGAGGCGAAGGTGCAACCCAGGAGGCGGCCCCGGCCCGTGGGGCGTGGGCCGCCAGCCTCGTGGAGGCGAAGGGAAGACCAAGGTGGTCCAGGCCCGCGGGGCGTGGACCACCAACCTCGTGGAGGCGACGGTGCAACCCGAGAGGCGGCCCCGGCCCTTGGGGCGCGGGCCGCCAGCCTCGTGGAGGCGATGGGAAGACCCGAAGATGATCCCGGCCCGTGGGGCGCGAACCATCAGCCTCATGGAGGCGAGTGGCAGGAGCGCGCCAGCGGCGGCGGCCCTCAGTCTTCAGGCGACGCAATCTCCACCACCACTCCCATTGCGGGAGGGCGGGCGGGAAAAAGCAAAGAGCATCGAGTTCGATCCGCGTGGCTGCATCGAACAACAATCTGGCATAGGAGCGCAGGGAGCAGGATACAATAATATATGATGGGGCAAGGTGGATACACAATGACACAAGCCACCCACCAACCATGCATTAGGAGCGCATTTGTCCTCAATTGGCCTGTCAATAACGGACGCGCACTTCCCTTCCTGCAATCCCACCCTGCCACCCCTGAGGAGATAGGCGGGCACTTTTATTGTACATCAGTGCGCCACGTCCTGCGTGCTCGGCAAGTCCGTTGTGCCTGAGTGAAACGACTGCACCGCGCAGGACGATGAGGGCCCGCGGGGCCCAACCGCCGGCCTCGTGGAGGCGGAGGGGGAAGCCCCGCAGATGAATCCAGCCCGTGGGGCGCGACCATCAGCCTCGTGGAGGCGCGAAGGGGGAGCCCGGGAGGCGGGCCCGGCCCGTGGGGCGTGGGCCGCCAGCCTCGTGGAGGCGAAGGTGCAACCCAGGAGGCGGCCCCGGCCCGTGGGCCGTGGGCGGCCAGCCTCGTGGAGGCGAAGGGAAGACCAAGGCGGCCCCGGCCCGTGGGGCGTGGACCACCAGCCTCGTGGAGGCGAAGGTGCAACCCGAGAGGCGGCCCCGGCCCTTGGGGCGTGGGCCGCCAGCCTCGTGGAGGCGATGGGAAGACCCGAAGATGATCCCGGCCCGTGGGGCGTGAACCATCAGCCTCATGGAGGCGAGTAGCAGGAGCGCGCCAGCGGCGGCGGCCCTCAGTCTTCAGGCGACGCAGTCTCCACCACCTGGCGAAGCCGCGGCGAGTGAGAGAGCCAATTGATAGGGCGACGGGCACTTTCGACAGAGGTTGGCTCCGTCGGGCGCGGGCGCTTCGCTGAGGAAGGTCGAAGGGCTCGCGGACGAGCCGAAACGCCAGCCGCAGCAGGTGCGCCACGACGGCAACGGCGTGTCCGGCGGGCTCGCGACGGCGTGGATGGTGCCGGAAGACTCTGACCGGACCCATCGGGACCAACCTGCCGGAGGCGCGGAGATCTTGACCTCCGGCAGCCGCGAGGTCGGTAGACCCCGTGCCTCTGCATGCGATTGCATCGAGGCCTCCAGGTTGGCGACGCGCCGTGCAAGTGGCTCGAGCTGTGCCTCTGGAGGCGGCTCTGAAGAAGAGCTCGCGGTGCGGCCCTGGCCGTCGAGCGGCAACTCAGTCAGCGCCTCTTCAACGTATTCCAACACCGCGCAGGAAGCCCAGCGTCCGACCGTCTGGATGCTTGAGAGCGGCCATAGGGATCGCGCGTAACGTTTGGCGCCAGACCGTCTCGCAGAATGGCCTCCTAGCACACGGTGCCCGTCGACCGCGAGGCGTTGCCAACCCTGGATGACGGCGGCCTTGGACACCGTGCCGCCGGCGACGTCTGGGAAAAGCGGTTCTTCCAGCTCGCGCGCGTCCTGGGCGCGAGTGCCAGTGACGCGACGTCGCGCCTCAAGGTGCTCCACCAAAATGTGCACGGGGCACGAAACCTTGTCGAAGGGGCCCAGCAAACAAGTGCATTTCAGCGTGACAGCCGCGCCAACCCCCCAGGTGTCGGTCTTCGACACGGGAAGGCGCATTCGCCCGCTCCTGGCCGAGGGAAAGTCGACGTGCGCAAGCCTTGCTGCCGCCAGTTCGATTTCCCTGAGCAGGAAGCGCGTGGCTACCACCCAGGCGCGCCACGGCGAGGCCAAGTCATGACCAGAAATGCCTTGCAACGACTCCAAGACATCAGTCGGCCGAAGCCCGTCTTCCCGCAACTCAGCGGCCTTGGATTTCGGGCCAATGCCTCGTCGGACTGACCGCTTGCACTGGTCGAATGCCCGAGCGAGCTGCTGCGATACAGGTGCGCCGCGTTCGATGTGTTCGAGCCGCAGCTCGTTGAGGTATTGTTCCGCAGACTTGAACCGAGCTCCCTTGAGAGCCGCAGCAACCGCATGCACGACGGCGACCTCCAGAGGGAAAGGCGCAGATACGTCCGGAATGGACGACGCCGCCTGCTCGGCCAATCTGCACACGTCAGCCCGCTTGCGGGAGACTGCCTCGCGGGAAGAATTCGCATAGAAATCTTGTCTGAGGGCACCCAGAGCACTCGCGAGGCGCACCGGGTCGCCCGCTATGGACAAAGCTGCGTTGATGGAGCCCCTGGTGTGACCAGCATCTGGAAGTGGAGGCCTAGGGAAGTCACGTCTTTGAAGATCGACGCCACTAGCTCCAATGTCAACGTTGCCCTCCTGGCTGGGGTGCTGCACCAACTGACCGGCTCCTTGGGAAAGGATGCAGTGTGGTGATCTCCCGCGCGGCTGCGCCAGCGGCACGAATCTCGGCAGTGAGCCGCTCGCGGACGCGCCCGGAGCCAGACATGGGATCACAGGAGCGTGGGTGACCACACTCGTGGCTGGCACGCCCGCCCGCACATTGCTCCACCGTGCCGGAATCGGCGCGGGCGGCGTGCCCGAGCGTGAGGCGTACCGAGGGCGTTTGGGCGGGCCTCTGGGGGGCGCGTCCCCAGAACTGCGACGATCGCTCATGGCGAATCGAGCCGAAACTACAACGGAGGATCAATTAGATGAGAATTGTCTCATTCACGTGCCGCTCCGGCTGCGACGGCAACCTGGCTCCATACAAGCATGCGCCTCGCCGAGAGCTGAAACAGCAACGATTGGGATTCGCTGGCGTGCCATTCGGCCGGCACCTTTGATCAAGGCAAGCGTGCGCCTCGCCGAGAGTTCAAACAAAGACGTAAGCATGGCACTCGGCGTGCCATTCGGCTCCGACGCAGTGTCTGAGCCCCGAGCCCCATGCGCCTCGCCGAAAGCTAACAGAGACAGCTGCCAGGCACCACGGAAGCGTGCGCCTCGCCGAGAGCCCAATCAGAGACACAAGGCACTCGTAGCGTGCCATTCGGCCCTGAAGCAGAGCCCGAGCCAGGAGCCCCATGCGCCTCGCCGAGAGCTTACTGAACGCATGGCTCGGGCGGCACAGGGGCCCAACGGCGACGTATGCCTCATGAAGACCAGAAGGAGGCCTCACGAGTGAGGCCACGGCCGCCCGCTGCGCCTCGCCGAGGACTCGATCCAAGGGACGAACGACGAAGACGATTAACTTCGCACGCGGCCAGGTCTTCGCGACGCGGGTCCCACCGCCGGAGCGGCCGGCCGAAGTCGAGTCCCGGAGGAGGGCGACGAGGAAGTGGAACGAAGAAAGAGGAAGGGAGGGAGAGGGAGGGAAAGGAAAGGGGGAGGAGAGGGAGAAGAGGTGAAATCGATCTGCCCTGGTAGCCGAAGCGCTGTGCCGGGGGCGCGCGCCGAAGGCTGGCCGAGGGCCAACACTGGTTGGGGCAGAGGCCCAGAGGGGATCCTGGGCAAGAGCACCACGACCCTGGCGCGCGAAAATCTTCGCGCTTCACTATCAAGGGGGGCAGAAGGACAGGGCAAGGCGGAGGAGGGGAGGGACGGGGAGGAACGAGGAAAAAGGGAGAGGAGGAGGACAGGGCGGAGGAAAGGGGATATCTTCGCGCCCCGTGCCGTGGGAGATTCGCCCCAACCGTCGGCGCCAGCTCGCTCTGTGAGGCGGCCGGTCGGGGACCGGGCCTTTGAGCAGCGAAGCAGAGCGAGGGGAGGCGAACGACCCACATTTTTCCCGATCGCACACGTGACAGTAACATGACATAAGCCTGCGCCCCCGGCCCGGGGGGCCGGGGCGTGCCTCGGGGAGGCGCGGTGGAACATGGCAAAAAAAAAAAAAAAACATAAAAAACATCACCCCTCTGCTGCAAAACGAAAAAAAACACCCCTCTGTCGAAGCACGCGACGAGCCGTTCAGACACTGGCGGCAACTGTTGCCCATGCGCTGGCGCCCGATGTTGCTGCCCAGAGCTCCGGCTGGGCCCCCGGGGGGGGGCAGTCGGTAGTATGAGCGAGGCCGGGCGGGCACTGGCCGGGCCTTCGCGCCGACCAGTTCCGCGGGCACTGCTGCGGCGCTCCCGGGAGCAGAACGCCTGGACAGCCAATCGGCCGCGACGTTCCAATGACCTGGAATGTGCGTGGGCTGTACATCCCGGACGTCCAGGCTCTCCAATTCGAGCGCCAGTTCGGCCCCGATTAAATTCATCACGGGGGATGAGCTGGACAGCTTCCCTGCGAGGGCAAGGGCAGCGGAGTTGTCGCCGCGCAGGTCCACTGTGGTCGAGGAAGCCCGCATGAAGCGACCCCACAGTTTCAGGGCGACGAGGAGAGCGAGCGCCTCCAAGGTCTGCTGCGAGCTGGATGAGCCCCGGTGGACAAGAAGGAGCCTCTCGTCGTCATCCAGCACGTCGCTGTGGGCGTACTCCAAGACCCTGCCGGATGCGAGGTGGGCCAAGACCAGCCCCAAGCCCCAGGGAGAAGCGTCCACTATGACGACGGTGGCTGGCGGGGAGCGCACCCAAGATATGCGCCGGGTCACTGGCCCTTGCATGTCGCACCAGAGCGCCGTGAGCCACCGGACAGGCAAGGCGATCCGCTTGGCCGCCACCAGACCGTGCTTGGGGCGCGGGTCCTCTCTGCGAAGACGTCTGCGCTCCTCGGCGCCAGAACGGATGCCCCCCTCGAGCTGCGGAGGCAGCGACCGCGTACATGATGGACACGGCCCAGCGGATGCGGGGGAACAGGCCTGCAACCCAGGAGCGTTTACCTGCGCACCGCTTGAGCTCCCTGAGGCTGACCATTGCCCCAGAGGCCAGGAGCTCGAGGGAGGCCAGAAGCTCCGCGACCATGCTGGCCGGGATGGGCACGGTGATCTCCCGGGCGGCGACGTCTGCCACTATGGAGGCCCCGATCCACGCGACTGCGCCCCCCCGGACTGCCTTGTGCCACGCGATGCGGACACCCATGCCGATGAGCACAGCACCCACAGTGCGAGGCCGAGCTGCCTGTCGCGCTGCGCGTTCGTGCCCCAGAGTGCCCATATGGGGTCAGGTACAGCTGCATTCTTGCTTGGCGGTGGTCCACGCAAGATTGCACGAGCCTCGCCAGCGCGGCTGCGACGCGGCACCAGAAGAGCGGGGCGCCAGAGAGGCCGAAGCAGAGCGTGATCCACAGCAGCAGGCGGCCCGGCACCGCATCCGGCGACAAGCAGTGGCGCAGCTCATCTGGGCGCGTCCGCAGATGCATGTAGGCGTCCGAAAAATCGGCGATGGCGAATACTAAATCCACCGCCG